GACTGTCATCAAAGGTGGAATATATTGTTTCCATGCATTCAGTAACACACTGGAGAGACTTATGCATCATGTATGCGTGACTTTAGGTAACGTACACCCTACCAAAGCTCAACCTGGAAGTCTTTAAATCATCTTCTGTTGTATATATTTAATTAAGTTTTTCTTTGTAATTAACATCCTGTGTCCCCTGTGATAATTTTATTTCTCAAAATTGGAACTCATAACATGATTAAAGCATCTTCCGATGTCATTTTATTAAAAACTCTAAATGGCAATGAAACATAGCAGAAAAATAGGAACTGAAACACTCAAACACAACAGTGTTAACATCATACACAAGGGTAACATATAAACCCCCAAAAAAACAAAGACAAAAAGAAAATAACAAGGAAAAAAAAGGAAGGAAGCTTCCAAAACGGTGAGCCCCAGCCTAAACAATGATTGCTACCAATCCAACATAACCTAGGAACAAGAACAAATTATAAAGCATGCACCACTAACTTAACCTAGGACTAAGACTCCTACATGGAAAACGGGATGGTAGATCTAGAAATATTTTTTTAAGGTGGACACATATATTAACCATATAAAAATTTTGTATATGAGTTGATACAAATAAATTTTCAAATGGACATAATCAATAAAATGTGCAATTAACAACAGAAATTCAGATTTCAATGTAAGCATTTATCTATCCTAACTAAAGCTTGGATCCGCAACTATAGGGTCAAAGGGGTGCTAAAGCGATGTGATGATGTCAAGACCTGTGCATTGTGTAGTAATGTTTTTAGGAGTAAAGATGGTAACAAACATCTATCCATTGGTAGAATTCATTAATGCATTACTGACAGTCCATATGGTCTTTATGCTCATCAATCCTCAAAACGAAATGGAAATTCTACCCCTATTTAAGACAAACCACATCAAAACGTGTATGATTACTAAATAAAATTATATTGTCGAGAAAAAAATATATAGAAAAATTCTCTTCTAGCACGACTCTCTGCATTTGTATATAGCCTAGGTTTTGGTTTCAAGGCTATGGTTTGACTAAGAAATTAGGTTCAAGTCTCGGATTATATTAAAAATAAGTTTTTCTTGTGATACTCTCCCCTCGGCCCTGTTGAGTCTTGCTCTCAGACAAAACTGCTATAAAATTTTATGCACAACACAGAACAATGGCTAAAGAGAATTCATCATTCACTAAATGCATACTTTTAAGCTTAAAACTATGGACATTTCATATATAATTTCCACAAGATTAAGTTTGTTTAATTTTGAGATTGCTATAAGGAGTTCTATGATCCAATCCTGTCTGCACTTTAATACTATGACATATACAAAACTGGATTAAAAGATTTTTAGGGTTTCTTTCCAACAAGCACAATGTGGCAACTTATAGGATCTACTGTGGCGTAGCATGCATGCATATTATAGAAACATTAGCTTCTTCTAGCTACTTATTTGCATATAAATTGAAACTATTTAATAAATAGCCTTTATAAGGGAATGAGGGTGATTAGATCAATTCACAAAACATTTGTCAAAACCATGAGCCCTGAATTTATAATTTTCTACACGTGTTTAGTGTAAAAAATTGTATATGCACAATGACACCTACATGCCATGAATTCCATACTATACAGTAACAAGTTAAATACATGAAGATTCTTAACTCAGCTGAATTAAAATCATTTTTCTCATATGTAACACCCCAAACATCGAGTTAGTGACTAAAGTGTAAGGATTTAAAAGTTAACGATAAAATTTGATAAACTGAAAAGTTCAAGGACTAATTTTGGGAATTATTGTTTAGGATTTATTATCAAAGGTTGAAGGATTGAAGGGTAAAATGGTCTTTTGACAATAAATGAATTAAAAATTCATTTTTTAAGGGTTATTTAACACGTGATCAAGGGAGAAAGAAAGAAAGGAAAACTCTGGAAGCTTGCTCCCCTCTTCTTCTCTTCCCCATGAACCTCCATGATAAGGTAAGAGATTTAAAACTTGATTGTTTCTTTCATTTCTGAGTTGATTTTGGTTCTTTGGGTGATATAGAAGCTTAATAAAGCCTAAGGATGAATTGAAACTAAGAGTTAAGGATTTAATGGTGATTTAATAAAATGGTTTTTTAAGATAATTGATTTAAATTGACTGTTTTTGGATTTTTTTTAAATATATATTTGACTTGTCAAGGGTTTAATTAAGGGGATAGAAGTGTTAGAAAGGAATAAGAACAAGTTTGAATAATTGATATGATTTTTTAGTTTCAAGAGTTTCATGGAGAAATTGAGGTGTTAGAGGGGTTTTAATGGATATAAGTTAGTGGTAATAAGTGTAAATGAGTTTAAAGGCATGAATGGAGTCTAAGTAGAAGATTTTAATGAAGTTGGGTAAAATTTCGAAGGGAAATAGATGAATTATGGGTTAGGGTATCGGTACTGGAAGAACAGTACTGATACTATAAGGTTAAATTGAAGGAAATAATATGAATTGGATAAACAGTATTGATATTGGTTGAAGAAGTATCGATACTTATATGAAGGTATCGATACCAAGAATAAGGTATCAATACTGTAAGTAAAGAAGAAATTCCAGAATGTCGAATTGGTATCGATACTGAAGTAAGTATTGGTACACTATAAGAGAAGTATTGGTACTACAGGTAGAGTATCGATACTATTCAGGATGAAATACTAAATTTGGGGTTTCATTGTGATTAAGTAAAAGTTAATTGGTTCAATGTAGTTGAGCTTCGATGTTCATGAGTTATATTAAATGTGTAGATTTGATTGAAAGCAAGTGTTGAACGAATGAATATGTAAAGTTAGTAAGCTACAGGGAAAGGATGTCTGCTTAGGACTTATGTGAGGCAAAGGTAAGTGCATTTTACTATCCTTTTAAATATAATAAGAAGAAGACTCGCGATGAGTCAACCTTGAATGTTTTGAAATTTTACTATGAAACACTTTGATCGTACTTTGATAAATAAATTGTGAATAATTTGGTCCGTGAAGAGCCAAATCTTGAAAATTTGTTAATATAAATGATTTGAATTATGACATTATCTTTTCTGATAATTTGATATATTTTGTTTATGAAGTCTGACATGAAATGATATATAGATTTAAACATAATACTATGTGATAACCTATGTAAAGGTTTCTACATGAAGATGATATGTGAAAATGTTTATATGAAGATGTTTTATATGAAAATAATCTATGTGCTCAACAAAAGTGATATGCGTGAAAGTGAACCATAGGTGAATGTAATCTATAAGAATAAGATACACTTTAAATAGTGAAATGAAAAATAATGATAAAGCTAAAGCCCAAGGTATATGTATGAGAATTAGAGGTATAGTTGGCATGCCAAGAGTCGAGAGTTTTATGTGGCACTTCGGTACAAACCTATGTGCACTTCGGTGCAAATCTATATGGTCCTTCGGGACAAATATGTGGCACTTCGGTGCAAATCATGTGAGCTGTGGTGACAACTTTAGTGCACAACCTCAATGTACTCAAATACCTAGCGTTCTCAGTAGTATACGTTTGCTATTAAAAAATAAATTAATATAAACTGAACAATTGATTAAAGTATACATTTTGTTATGAAAAGTAACTTGAATTCTTTGAGAAATGGTTTCTATAAAATGTGTAAATAAATGTTTTATGATTTTATTATACTCATTATGCATCACTAAGTCATAGACTTAGCGTGTGATGTTTGCACACGTAGGATCCGAGCTTCGAGGAGTACGTTGAATATGCAAGAGCAAGGCAACATACTGGTGAGATTTATTAGACCATAGAGAAATTTTGAATTGTATAAGTATTGATTTTGAAATGTTGTTGGCATGTACTAATTATGTTCTAAATTGTAGATGCTCTGATGTGTTTTGTAAATGTGTTTTCATTTTTTTTCCAATAAAAGTCAAATTTTAGTTAAAATTCTCAAAGAGTCAAAGAGTTGAAAAGTCAATGTGACACCTCAGAGTCGTATCCGGGTCGGGTACGGGTCGGGGTGTTACATCATATTTTTCACTTTTATCTCTGTATCATTTTTCAACTTGAAGATTTACTAAAGGTTTCATAGTTCACTACTCTTCTAACTGGTTAAACGGTTATCAGAGAAAATGACTTAATATTGTTAACTCTCCCTGCAAGTCAGATTATTTTTAATTTGTTGACTGAACCATGATAGAGTGGCAAAAGTTAACACTAATTTCGGGTTCGATCCTTGAACCATCTCTTCCTCTTATAAAACTAATCATTCTTAATCTCAGATATCCGTTGATTAACCATTTTCCAGATGGTTCAATACATATTTCATCGTTGTCATCATCTGATATCTTAATTAGGTCATATATCATAATTAAATCTTTCTCATCATTTGGTTCAAGAAAAAAGCTCAAGTGCCGCTGCCAAAATTAATATTAGATAATTATCTCATAAAAATCATTAGCCAAAATAAGAGTATGGTACAAGAGGTTCCATCCAATGAATTCTGTACTGTAATTTAACGAATGGATTCTCGAGTACTTGAGACAAATTTAAGCCCAACTTCACTTACATGCTGTCCGCTAATCATCAGACAGAAGCATATAGTGATGGAAACCTAGAGAAACAACCAAGCTAGTAGAGAAAAGGACATATATGGTTCAAGAGATCAGCAATTGAGTTGAGAGGTTCAAAAGAAAAGCAAGCATTCAAAGAGTTTTTATTTCCTCCATCAAACCTTAAATAAAACAACAAATTGAAACTGTAGCTTACATCTTCGATGCTCATGCGCTGCATATAAGCACTATGGCCCTTCGTTGCAAGTATGCAGACCTCTCAGGGTTTTCCATATAGTCGAACTCCTGAAAATCAAGACTGAAATCGATTAATTGTATGTGAATGAGATAATCAGATGTATGAAGGGCCTCATATATATGTGTGTGTTAGTGTGTATGTGTATTTATACGTTCTTGGATGGTACCTGTTGAGAGGTCGACATTAATTATAGCACAAAGGGTAGAGTGAGCCGTTTGTACCATTAGTATCCCAATTCTGGGACAAATTGGGGAAGCCATTACTGTCAAAGCTGTTGCAGCAGTTTGCATCCTTTGAAGTTGCAAGGCTTTGCTGATAACCCAAAATTGTAGATGGCTTCAACATCCTTCTGATTACTATAGATTTTTCGATGACATTTTCTCTTGATGCTGCACTAGGTTGTTCAACTTGATGAGCAACGACTTTAAAGGAAGACGATACCATGTTGTTGTGGCCATAAACTAAATGATCTGCAGGTATCTTGGATGTTTCCAGTTGGGTCAAAGAACTCAATGGGTGAGTGCTTGAATCTGAACATATTTTCCACTCATGAGCACTGTTCATCTTTTCTCTAGTTCTTTCCCTTGCTCTTGCCCTTGCCTTTGCCCTTGCCCTTGCCCTTGACTCTTTAAGAGGGGTTGCCGCTAATTTCTGTAACTTTTTCTCTTTTGAAACAACACCCTCTAGCTCAAGTGAGTTGCTTTCTCCTCCATCGAAATCAAACACTCGATTCTTAGCCATCATTTCGTGCTGATCGTCATCATCGGAGACAAGAGACAACCTCTTTTGACCACCGGCGCAACCAACATTCCCGTATTGCTTCATCTTCGTCAGCTCTTTAATGGCGTTCCTCGATTTCCTAAGCAGCCACTCCACCGTTTTGCTAGCTTTATCAAACCCTAACATATCTTGAAGATCAAAGAAATCGCGGGCGATTTCTATGGACAGCCTCACCCTCCTATCCCTCACCCCTTTCGCAGTGCAAATCTTGCTGTGCCGATCTTTCTTCAGAGCCTTCTTGACGGAAAAAACAAACCCCGGACGAAGCCCACCACTAAAATCAAGTACTCCATGGTCCTCGTTCAAAAGCGCCATGTTGAGCAAAGTCTCGTTGAGGTTAAGCTGCTGAGGGTTTGCAGCGGCGGGCAACAATGAAGAAGCCGACACCAGATCATGATGGTGGTGATTAAGGAGGACATTGTCATTAGGTTCGTGGCTTAAAAGAACTTGGGGAAGATGGTAAGATGAAGAATAAGAAGGAGGAGGAGGAGGAGGTGGAGGAGGAGGAGGAGGAAGGTGAGAAAAAGGGTTGATATTATAGTTGTTAGCTGAGATTGGAAAGAACATCTTTGCTTAGACAAAACTAGTGTTGTTTGAGGAGGAGTTCAGTTGCTTTTAACAAAATTAGAAAAAATGTGGGGATTCGATCTGCGGAAGAAGAATTTAGACATGGACAAAGCACTGCAGGGAAGACAGGGGTTCTAGTTGTTTGCCTCGTGTTTCAGAACCACATCCAAACTTAGCTTAGCGAGCTGCTATAAACACACTGAGCGAGACTATTTCACTTTTGGCCAATTTTTTTTCTCCTGAAATTTATGAACGCATAATGTAACATTATCTATAGGAATAAGATTATCGGCCAAAATAAGATTAATAAGAATGTTGTATTTTTATGTTTGTTTTGTTTAATATAAATGTAAGATTACAGTGTCTGGTTAAAGGAATAAAGATTATTCGAATGTATATTTTTTAAAATTATTCTTATTATATATTTATTTTTTTAACAAGTTGAATTCTACTATAATATTACTATAATTAATTTATATATTTTCTTTAAAAAATTAAATTCATAAAATTTATACAATTATGATTATTTTTTTTGTAAAATTGAAAAGATAAATAGGTTTAATGAAATAGTAAATTTTAATTTTAACTCTTGAACTTCATATAAAATTCTAATTATGGACATTTTTTTGTAAATCTAAAATAGTTTAAAAATAAATTTGTAATTTAACATTCGTAGAATTTTTTTTATTCAGCGACAGAAGAATTATATTTTTGAAAAAGCAACTTAAGGCATTTTAGTCCAAAATGTCGGGAATGTAACAATACATAAGGGAATGGGGTATTCACATTCCCGATAATATAACCCCAATATATCACTGTTGGGAATAACTTATTACCGGAGGCTGAGAATGTTTGCCAACCAAACGGGGGAATGACATTCCACTCCATTCCCCTGGTAATGTGAGATACCCTGAACCAAACGCCCCTAGGGCGAGTTCGGTTCACGAAATGTAAGATTACCAATGGGAATAAAAGATTACCAATGGGAATAAAAGATTACCAACTAATAGGATTACTGAGAATGTTGTATTTTGTGTTTGGTTGGTTTAACAGGAATGTAAGATTATCGTGTTTGGTTAAAGGAATAAAAGATTATTGGTAATAAAAGATTACCGAGGCTAGGAATGTTGGTCAACCAAACAGGGGAATGAGATTACATTCCCCCGGTAATTTCATAGTACATGAACCAAACACCCCCTAAAGATAATGGAAAGGTTATTACTGATATTTTAATTATATGAGTATTGTTTCAAATTTTAATTTATTATTTAATATAATGATGTATATAAATAAACACTTTTTATACAAATTCTCAATTATTTATATTTCTATACATATATCAAGAGATATTATACGGGAAAGCTAGGAATGGTAACGGGGTGAGTTTGGGGCGGGTTTTGCTCCCCGTCCCGTCGGGAATTTTTTTGTCTTATTCTCGAACCCGAACTCGAACCCGACCCGATCTCTAGAAAAATCGAGCAGCCGTAGTTTTCATAAAAAAATAGAAAAAACGATCACAAAAAACTAAAAAATTAGTCTACATGATTTACAATTCAAACTACAGTCACAAATTCAAACTCAATTCTAAATAATTGTCTAAACTCCAAAATAAAACACATACATAATTAAAATATGAACTTGTTCCGATATTCAAATCATACAACGAAGATGCATACGTAATATTAAGTCAAAGGGGATAGCAAATACAAAGGGGAAAGTGGGAACTGGAAACCTAGGTTAAATGTTTTGTTCGGATTATATATAATTAATATAAAATATATAAAATATTATTTATATATATATATATATATATATATATATATATATATATAATCGGGGCGGGGTGGAGATACTTTACCCCGAACCTGAACCCGAAAAAATCTCCGAATTTTACCCTGATACCTGACCCGATATTATTCAAACCCGACCCGAACTTAGTCGGGTTATTCTGCCATTCCTAGGAAAAACTATGATCAAATATTAGAAGGGACAATACACTAAGTTCAAAATAATAGGAACTTATTACATATTATTTTAAGAAACTAGAGAAGCAAAAATCTACTTTTACTTAGGTTTAAACCGATAAGAACCTAAAATGTTATTTGATCAAAATTTTGGGAGGCGTTCTTTATATACTTTTGTCTATGATATTACGTGTTTATTTATGTTGTAACTCGTATTCTTCTTACATGTAGTAAATAATAACTCAAATCATATAAGCGAAATAAAGTTAATATAAAACTTTTAACTTAAGATCTAACATGTCAAATTATCAATAATTATAAATAAAATATGAAAGTGTATTTGAATGTATTATAAAGAAAATATTCTCGATATTATAATGTTGATCTTTTAAATTAGTACACAATTATATATATAGAAAACACTTCGGGGTCATCTAATAAATAACTTAACATGTTAACCTTAATTTTTAATAAATATTAATATATCCACATACGTGTCAAATTAACCTCAACTGCATAAGATTATTTCAATATCTTTTACAACAACAAATAACATACAATTATTTATTTATTTATTTATTATATTTTCCATGTTCATATAATTCAACATTCAATAATATCAATAAATTAAAACTCAATTAATAATTATTTTTGTAATGTTGTTAAAATTTTAATCTTATGTTTATTTTTAAAAGAAGTGTCTGCTTAGTGTAAAACTCAATGAGTTTTACATGAATTTTTCTAGGATTAATATTTTGAACAATTAATTGTATTAATCATACATAAAATGATTTAATTTAATTTAATTATATTAAAAATTAAGTCTAATATCAACAATTAATTAATCTAATATTATAAGACGATAAATAATTTAAATATGATTAAAAATTTAATTCATGACACAATGAATAAAATAAACTTAATTAGTAATATTATCTACAGCTACAATAAACTTGTATAATATTCAATTTTAATTAATCAAATCAATGTCAATTATTATAACAAAAACAAGAAGTGTATTAGAATATAAATTTATAGAGAGAGAAGACAATAAATTAAATACAAAATGGAGAAAAATCAGGCACTAAGGGACGGGAGGGGGGACTGTAGCTGTCAATTCACACTTTTAAACCCGTTATTTCAGATTTTAGACAATCTCTTGCGCTTTATCAAGTCTTTTCAATGCCATCCTTTTCAATCTTTAAATGGTTGCGGTTATTTTTTTATTAGGTTGTCTTCCAAGCTATAAGACTTCACTTTGATTAATATTATATATATATAATTATATTTTTTTTTTTTGCTGCCCTTTTGGTTCTGAATATTTGGACTTAATTAATTTGAATCGATCTTAGTCACATACATGATTTTAGTGGGTGAGTCTTCCAACGAGAATTTACTGCATACACAATGAATCGAACTCTATACTTTCTTAAACGACATTAAGTTGCTTACCATTTGAACTAAAAATAATAAATTTTTATTTTATTAACTTATTTTGACATAAATATAATTTGTGTATGTACACATGATATCATATATTGTCCAACATTTTTCTGTTTTCCATTTCTTCTCGAATATGAAATGTCCCTCCACTTGCCCCTTTCTCTCTCTCTCTTTTTACCCTTTTTAATGCGTTTTCGAAATTAATTAATTATTTAAAAGTAAAACGATTGGATTATGGATTAATAAAAATGTTCAAAACTAGATTCAGTTTATTCTAATTTAATCTGTGTATTCATATGCGAAAATTAAATAAACAAGTTATTAATGTCTGTAATAATCTGTGTAGATTTCAATTTTGGTCACTGAATTATAAAATGTTCTAATTTTATCTTTAAACTTTTTCGAATTACTTTCTTTCATCTTTTGATAGTTGATCATTACTTATAATCGACTGTCATTTACGATATGATGCATTACTAAACTGTTTCATTCTCTCATCTTTCTAATGAAAAGATTCAATAACTCGATTCTAGCATTACAACATGAAACCAAACAAAATCAAATTCTTGCCCAATAATAATAATAATAACAATAATCCCCTGGAATGTAGAATATTCAACTCTAAGTGCTGATGAATGTATAAAAAAGGAACCTTCTACAACAGCCCACATTGCATCAATGTAAAAGTAAATCCCTGCAACATAAATTACAACATACAGTGTAACACCCCAATTTAGGGACTAAATTTAATGAATTATAAATTGGTGGATTTAATTGGTATTTTGAAAGAAACGGTGGATTAAATTATAAAATTTCAAAGTTGGTAGACCGTTTTAAAAAGTACAGGAAGTTCAGTGACTAAATTCATGGTTTACACATTTTTATTATGAGTTGAATTATAAATCTCCCATTCCCGTATGTTTTCTGAAAAAATTTCCAGTTTTTCCTATTCATCAACCCTCCTTTGAACTCCAATCTACTCCTCGTCCGACCTCCGATCGACGAACCGAAATCACTATCGTGTTCGTTGTCGGCCGAGGAACAAAACCCCTCAAACCTTTCGTCGTGAATCGTCTTCGTTCGTCGTTAATTTCAGTCGGAAGTATCGTCGGTAATAACTCAATTTCAGTTGGTTTTTCGTCGATTCACGACGATCCAGTCATCCGTTTACGACACCTCCCGAACCATCGTGTTCCTTGTATCGCTCCGAGTCCACCGGTGTTCTCCGTTTCTCCGTCGTCACCGGCGCGTGGAGGGGTGAGAACGTCAAAGTTTCCGACGTTTTGGAATCGAGCTCTCCGCCGTTCAAAATTGTGAACCGAGCTTTGTAAGTGTCTTAAAATCGCTTAAAATAATTTTTAGGAATTTTTCCAGGAATTTATCAACACCGGGGTTACTATTCACGCGCCGCACGCGCCACTTTCTAGAGTGGGCATCGTCTGGGTGATAATTTAGTAATTAATTTATGTTTGGGTGCTATTTGTATAAAATTCGAGTGTTAGTTTAGTAAATAATTACAGAATGTGGCTAATTTAGTAATTAATTTCTGATATGGTGATATTTGTGTAAAATGGTCGATTGTTGACCACAGTTGACCAGAACTTTGACCGGCCTTGACTG